CGACTAGCACACGTCCCATTGACAGAAACAGCTTACGAAGTTATTAGCTGCCTGGATTGGGAACCAGTCATAGAACTAGAAATAGCAACCAGAATACAAAACTTGAAGAAAGTAGAAAATATCACTTTAATACCGTATATAACAAAAGAAATCGGTAAAATGTCGATAACAGCAATTACATTGCAAAAACCCCACTATCCATTGTTGGAGAAAAGATTTGCAATTGCAGAAAACGAAGCATTTTTAGTACCGGACAATTATTTGCTCCCAGTTCAATGTGCTAACAAAAATATGGCAACCGAAAACTTTGCTAAATGCACAGATCATATGATATGTATGTGCGAAAATCCACAAGCTCCACATACGTGCCATTGCCCCGACAATGCATTTGCAAAACTGAGATTCGAGCGTTCAAACCATCTTCCAATCTCAACAAGCCTCATGGAAATCAAATCCGAGGCTATGGAACTGTATACATACACACACGAAGGAGAAACGACTTTAGCGATAAAATCGTCTCTGATGCTTGACAGTGCAAGCTACATAATTATTGAACCATGCAAAATAACACCACAAAAGTTTGTCGGATGTTACGAGTGTACTGAAGGTTCCACACTGGATGTTGCATGTTTCGCACAAATTGAAACATGGGTAACCATACAATGTGAAACACAAGTATTCAGTATACCCTGCGACAAAAACAACAGGTCGTCGAACATAACAATGGAATTTGACCATGCAGTGATACATGAAAAATGCCACACACTGTGTGGAAATACGGAACAAGTATTTACTCTGGAAGGCACACTACACTACCATCCAGATAATACATCAAATTCAATATTTGAATCCATCGAACCCGATATCAAAAACAATTGGTCAAATCTAGTAAACGTACCAGATCTCCAGCCCTTGGTAAATACAGTAAAAAGCCACTGGAGAGCAGCTCTAGCAGCTATAGGAGGAATATCAGCAATGATAGGCATCACATACCTATTTGGACCGGCCGCGTTGATGCTAATAGTTCGATTACTATGGACCTTAGCGCTAGCAGTCGCAAGAGTCGCATGGCAGGCAATGTGCCTCGCCATCACTTTGCTTCGCGGAGCAATCAATACAGTTCGGGTCATCCGACAGCATGCGGACAACGCACCTAATTAGGCGTTGACGCGATGACAATCCATGCACACCGTGAGCGGTTGTAAATAATGTATATAAAAATATATCTTAAAATTCAAAAAATCCTTTTTGCCGCCTCAATAATAAAGGGGAGGAGCAAAAACAGCGGCAGTTATTAACAACAGCTGACAGTAGAGGCGGGACCCCAAAAATAATCGTACAAAAAGCCGAAAAGTACAACTCAGCTACACACCATCATGGCTGAGTACAACTACCTCCTCGACGGCGAGCCTACCCAAGACAACGCATTCTCTATTCTCATCAAAACTATCGAGGGCAAGGACGAAAAGACCACAGGCTTACTTCACTCTATACTCCATAGCCAGGAAACTCGCCTAACAGCAATCGAGAACGCTCTGAGTTCCCTCTTAGAACGATCAGCTCCTAAAAAACTGTGCGTCTTCTGTATTCCGCAGGACAATACGGATAGCCATATGTCCGGTCGCTGCACTCGCTATCCTACTCCCTTGACCCGAGGGATTCAGGCCACAAAGCTGGGTCTTTGTGAACGATGTCTGAAGCCTTCACATCCTGAAGACTGTGGAGCAAAATGCACCTTCTGCCAACTGCCCCATAATTCGTTGATGTGCCCTTCAAAAGAACAACTTCACAAACCCCACTTCATGAAGAGGAAATACCACCATTCCCCTTACTGAATCTGCCAACTCCACAGCTATTCTATTATCTACACAACAATCTACTACTCTACTACCTACTATTCTAAATATTCCAACGCCCAATGCCAACCTACTACTGCCAACCGCCTCATCTGCCCACCATTAGCCGCTGCCAACCATCGAAAATCAACAACAACTTCGTCAACCTACCGCTCAATCAACGATAACCACCTCAACGTCAACGCCGATCCACAATCAGCTACACTCGAGGAGACGCGACGCCGTGTGATACTATTTCATTATCATTTATTCAATTGTTGTTGTTATTATTGTTGTTGCCCCCCCCCCGGGCCGGAGTGTTCGGCCATTTGCTACGTATTGTGGCCGAACCGACCTATACATTAATCATCCCGCAGTAAAGCGGGCGGGTTCGGGGGTCAACGGGGCTCTTTTGTTGTAAGCTTCCTCAGTCTCACAATAAACGTTCATAGCGACGTGTTGTGTTATCTCCCAGTTATAAGTTGCCCTATAGTGGCACACGAAGTGAAAATAAGCTTCACCGCCCGTGTTTACTCGAAAATCAGAGGAAGCTTGGTCAAAACATGATGAGCTTCCTGACTTGAAACTCCATAGACTCCATTTCCATAGACTTGAGTAAACAGATCAATAAATCGATGAAAGGATCCAGTGAATTCTAGTGAAAAGCAGCCTAAAACCGTCTCCGGATTCGAAAACTTCTGTGTGCAAACGTTCAGCCCATTCGGTTGAGCAACGCGTTTCTATAACGCACATATTCTTTAAAGAGACAATTTTTGAGTTTTGTGTATATATAGATACTATCCACTCGTTCCAAAGCGCCGTTTCGCGGCTTCGGACTGTGTGTGTAAGGAACATCAGCAAAAAAGTAAAATAGAGCAAAACATTTTTTACGTATGATAATCAGGGTCGAGCAAGAGATGGGCACACAACCGGAAACGACTCCCCTCCCCCCTCAAACCATGGAATTAGGAGTCAGCATTTTCGTTTTCCTACCGGGGTCATGACATAAAGGCTCTACCAAGCATAACTGGCAACATATTCATGTCTATCATGTCAAATAATCTCCGTGAGTCAAGTTCAGCTAATTCCGAGCGTCTCCAACATTGGGCCACCCAACTAAATGGCCGCTTTTGAAAACGGTTAACCATATTTTAAAAATGAATTGGCTACCTCCTTTTGTACTTAATATAAAGCCCTACACTATGTTTGCCTATAATCTTGTTACAATTAAGTGTCACACTATGGAATCAAAAATCAGCCAAAATCTTTTTGTCCCATTTTTCGCCTATCAAAGGTGTGCTTCCAGCAACTATTGCTCAAACGAAAAAAAAAACAAATTCAGCTCCAATTTTTTCCACAAATACTGCGAAATTAGCTATCGAACTGCCTGCATTTTGTTAGCTGAAATGCTCTTTAAAGGTGAGCTAATGGGGTGTAGCACAACCCCTGAAAAGCTGTGGCAGCTACAGCTTTTTAGGGTTTGTGCCACACCCCATTAGCCTATCTTCAAATCACTCAAATACTTGCGTTTTTTTATATCGTTGCTTTTGCCTGACCTTCTTCTTCACACAATAGGAATTTCATTCGAAATCGTATCTTCTAAAAAAATTATAATTTTATAGCTATAGTTTTTGCTTACCTATGCAAAAAGAAAATACTGCAAAAATATTGTGCATATCTGCGCTACTACGTGAATCGCGATGGAAGGCAACAAGAATGCACATTTTCGATAGCGTAAGCCTTCTTATTTACACTAAAGTGATTTAAGCCTGACTGGTCTTCTTTGCTCTGAGATGCTGAAGCGAAAATGCGACAAACGAAATTTTGGCTCGCCCTTAAATCTATAGTTTAGAAGTTATTTGAGGTGAAATTTTTAATGTGAGTAACGTAATAGTAGTTCTTTGTATTATGCGCCAAAAGAAGTAATTGACTTACTTTTGGAACAAAGTTAGCATGTTTGAAAATGATTATCTCACTTGGGTGCCGCGGTATGTGGAAACCTCAGAATTCGCAGAAACTTGCCTCAGAGGGGTTATATTTATCCAATAGCCAAACATCTCGTTTGTGCATTTATTACAGCTTTAAGCTCGAGGAGTCAAATTTGTATTTTTCTCCAAGTTTAGTTATACAGAGTGCCATAAAAACGTGCCTACTGTTCGATTGTTGATAGCTCTCTCGTCATGAAGTCCCCCGAGAAGCTTAGGTGATCATTTTGTAGAAATGGCACCAACTTTAATTTGCAGTATGGAACAGACTAAGGATCTCTCTTCATTACTGTGGGATTACGGTAGAAACTTCGAGAAGGGTTTTGAGTCAGTAGGGATCATCATTTTGATCCTCAGAAAAAAAAACCAAAGAAGCTGAAAACTCCTACACTAACCAACCGGAGCCACTGATTTCAAACATGAAAGTCGCACTTTAACCTAACCCTTCCTCATAAGTTGTGCCAGATATACCGATTCCGTTATTTGTCAAGAATTTGATACGTTATTTAAAAAGCTCTGCGAACACACAGGAAGTTGTTTAGTGAAATCATCATGCTTAAAAATCTTATTACACTCTCCAGATTTTTTGTACCACGTGTACCACGTCTCACAGTGACGCCATATGCTGCGAGCTCCTACCGTAATTTTTGATCAACAAAGAGAGATTGGTAATCCGCTTCATACTGTAAATCTAAGTTGAAGCCAGCTCTACAAAATGATACCTAAAGCTTCCTAAAGTGCTTCACGAAAGAAATATCAACAATCAAACAGCATGCACAATTTTTAAGACACCTTGTTAGTCATAACTATCTTCTATCATGATCGAAAATTCTAGCCAATGAATATTTGATTCTAGAGGTTCAAAACTACCTTTGTACAAAAAAGTAGCTATTTGACAGCTAATGGATTGTTGTAATGTTTCAACTTCACACGTCAAAATGAAATTATGTCATTTGCCAACCAAATAGCTTTCTTTGCATTTGGATAATTTGGCCAACAAAGATTGCTGCAAAGTAAAGCTGAAAGTAGGAAATGCATAGTGGTAAACAATGATTACCAACCGCTAAACAGACACTATTTTGTATCATCTTTTCCACGACACGTATGCAGTTAGTTCAGTACCATAAAATACTAGTTGACGAAGCATTTGAAAAGAGTTCATCTACTAAAAATATTTTAGCGCGGAACGGTGCTTTGCTCTTTTCAAGTGATCGATCCTTGTGATAAATCTAAGATTCACACCTACCACGCATTTCAATCAGACCATACCGTAAGTAACCAAATTACTGAATATTTCACAGAAAAAAAGCCAGAAGTTTTCAGTTTAGTAGAAGATGCTATTTTCGAGATTCGGATAAGCTAGTTGCGTGCTCATGTGACACTGACCTCTGCAACAGAGATGTGGACATCATAAGGGTATGATGCGATTTGATGTTTACTTGCATGTTATTTTGTAATCTGCTTAACGTTATGAGATTAACGAAGTCCGTATTTCAATTCTGTATGATCAAACACAAGTTCAGTCAGCAAACGACATCTTGCAAAGCATTGTTCAATGACTAACCTCACTGATTGAACTTGCGTGGTTAATTTGTTCATGGAGAAGTAATCTCAGAATTACAGAGACGCTTGGAGAAGACAATTGATCTCGACCCAGAAGTCCGAAAATGCGTTGAGGACCGTTTGAATGGTGAGATAAATTTTAGAGTTCAATGCATGTCGATTACATGCTTGATCTCTGTTTGTCTAAAAAAATTTTATGATCTTTTGTGAATTGTATAAATTGATTTCTTACTCAAACATACCGATTTTTATTCAGAGCTTGAAAGAAAATTAAAAGGATGGGACACAACTACTACCAAAGCGGTATGCATTCAGTACTTTTCCTTTTCTAAAATAGGATGTTTCAGCCAAATCAAGACCAAGGCAATGATGCACACATGAGCAATCGTGGTGAGATCATTGTCGTTGAAAAGTAACAGAACAATGAATATTTTCAGGACAAGGAGTATATTGGGGTTAAAAGACATTTTAACTACCAAAAAGTATCATATGAGTACAATCTACCTTACGAAAATAGCAGTTACCCCTGAAACGCGTTGAGACACTGAGCGCAGAACAAAAAGTTCTAGCTGTAAAGCAGACTCAACAGCTTTCCTTGAACTTTGAAGAGGTCAAGTCTGAACAAACTACCGGACAGAAGCGGGATTTTTGCAAAAGACAGCCTTCTTCCATTTCTTTGCCAGTTTGTACCCCTACATGCCCTGAATATTTGCGCCTCAAAACTTTTCGTTGAATAATTAGGAATTTGAGATAAATTGGCATGCATCAAAAAAATATCCAAAGCTGCATAGAATGAATCCTAAATCATCCTCCCTTGCCCCTTTAGAGTCGAATTGAACATAAGTCGAAATAAAAAATATGTTTAAGTGATGGGTAAATTGAAAGAAAGAACGTGGGTGGTCTGACACTATTTTATGTTTGTTTTGTGTTCGATTAAATTACCCCTAAATGAAAAAGAATAGGTATGCCTCATCTTGTGCAACTCAGAAAGTATAGTAGCCAGATGACTTCAACCAGCCCCGCTGCCATATAACGAATTTTTAATCACGGACTTCCGCAAAGATACAAAAAATCTTATTTTGAGGAAGTATAACAATAGCAGTTAACAATGGATCCACTTATTTCAAACTATTCCAGAACTTTCGTAAACATCGTGTTGATCAATAAATGTCTTTCATTCTATTGCTTGATTCCCATCTTTACCCAAATCGATTCATGTTTTAAACATTTCCCAGTTTGAGCTGATGCCTGAAGTATGTAGGTACGCAATGGCTCGCTTTCGGGGAAAAATTGTAATTCTGAAAAATGAGATCCTGCCACTTCAAAAATTTTATAAGAGATGGAAATAGTACTTTTGAATCAAGCACTCCTGCACTTAACACCGTTTTGATACGAAAATGGTAGTTGTTAAGAAAACTAAAGTTTTATGTTTAAATTTTACCTTATTGTTGTTATAATTTGTTTGGTGCACTGCATATGCACCAAACATATAGCAAATGAAACATCCTCATGCGAATGAAACTCAACCTCGTTATAATTTGAGATATCATTCATTGAATAGCTTGAATGACTCGACGAAAATTAATTTAGGGCAACAGCAAACCGGTAAGAAGGCAAAAGATAGAAGTGGTGGCACAAGCGACTTGTAAGTTTCGTTCAATTCATGGCAATAAAAATGCGCTTTTACTCGAGATGTTGATTAATGTTGACAGTGAAGTGTACCGAATTAAATAAATGGGATAAGTAGGTGGGATTTTATAATTTACAGAATCAACTGAACCATGTATACTACCGAAAATCTCGCAGCAAGCAGATTGCATTAGTCGCTAGAGAACAAACAGCTTTCCCAGTAAATGGGATATCAAATCCTTTGGCGAGTGTTGAATTAGTTGTAAAATTAGCGCTTCATTCGTAAACTTTTAAACTTTTGGAAACGTGACTCGTGATGGTTACTTTAAATTAGGTTTTTTTTGTGAAAGATGGATGGTTAATCAGATGATCATAGAATTTGAATGCTGGAGGATTAACATAAGTTACTGGCAAATAAGGAAGGATGTGGGATACGATTTGCACTACCAGTAATGGATTAAAGGCAGTGTGCCGGCAGATTTTGCATTTCCATTTTTTTGCATGTTTTGGGCCTTTTTGACCTGTAGACCGAATTTGAGCTTTGAAAAGGATGAAAAGACCTTTTTCGGGGCGTTTAGTTTCCAAAACGGCGGCCAGTTTCCAAAATGCAGCTCGGACAAGAATTTCAATGAAAAGTTGGGAGGCCTTGACACAAAGACCCTGCTGCCTGTAATTTTTCCTTTGGAAAGCATGCAGAATACGGGGGAGCGGTCGCGGGGTCGCGCGCCGATTGAGGTTGCACGCGCCGGTTTAAAAGGCTAATTTCCGGCCCGGGGAGAACGCCAACCAGTCAGACTGCGCTTGGAGGTCAGTGGGTTGACCAGGAATCCCACCACAGCAATATCCCCAGAACGAGAATCTGCCGAGACACTGCCTTCAAGGCTCACCTTCCCCCTCCCCGGAGAATAAGTTGCGAAACCTCAAAAGTAGTTTTTGTAGGTTCTAAAGCTGTGCGAGGAATTGTTTTCTTTTGTGAAAGAACCTCGATAAAAATTTTGAAACTTGCAGATTCAAGTTGGTATTGTAATCTGCCCCTTCACATGTTTTGAGGTGGGCCAAAAAATTGTCAAGTATCTCGTATTTTTTGGACGTGGCTCGTGCCACCCCTTTTCACTCAAAATTTATCATCTTTCCTCGGAAAAAATTCTTTAGACCCGCAGTGGTTAACACCAATGGCGGACCAAGACAACTTTCCCTCCTCCCCCCCCCCCCCGCCCCACTGAAGTCGCCAACTTTTTGAAAGTAGCCTACGTGGGCTGTAGATTGCAGATTAACACTGATTTGTTTTTCTTGTCTACTTTAGACAGTTTTCCAAACATTTTTGAAACACAAATTAGCTTTGTATAAAAATATCGCGGTGTGCTACCGCCAAGTCATTTACTTATGAAGGGCTAAAGACCCCGAGAATTTTTTTTTGAAAAGCATGCCCCTTCAGCTGAAAAATTTTTTGCCTTTCAATCTGGAAAAAAACTTTTCGGATGGACATAGCGCCTACGTAGAACAAAGCTGAAATTAGGTGTTGTGAGATTTACCCCATAGGGTATTCACCCTCAAATTTTGCTTTCGTTGAGCAGACACGATCAAGTATCATCACATCTTGTTCTATTGCTTCTTCAATGCACATCTTGTTTCAGCATTATATTTTTGATCCTGGTGGTGGTAGCAGTGATTCTTCTGGTTGCAATAATTCCTGCTCTACTTTACTGCTTGACGCTGAAAAATAGAAGAAGCCAGAGAAAGTTCGCTGAATCGCTCAAAGAAGACAACGCAAGCGAAAAATCCAGCATGAAATCCAGAAGAGGAAAAGGCGGTAAAAGCAAGAAAAGTTCGAAAAAGAGCAGCAGAAGCAAAAGAAGCAAGAAGAGCGGGAAAAGTGATAAAAGCAAAAAAGGCAGAAGTGCGAAAAGTGGCAAGAGCGCGAAATCAAGCGGCAAGAGCGGGAAAAGCAGCAAAAGTTTACTAAGCCGAAGACGTCGCAAGAGCTCAAAGAGTACGAAATCGTCAAGTAAGAAGAGCAAGAGAGATAAGAGGTCAGCGAAGGGCGGCAAGAGAGGAGCGAGAGGCAAATCGAGGAGATGATTACATACGATGTGTGAAGAATGCTCAATCTAACAACAATACAAAGCCTTCTCGCAATCATCGTACACAGATAAGAATCATCCACACTAGGTATTGATTTGCAATAAAGTCGCTGTGTACTTTGTGTATTCGCTCAACACTTAACTACAAAACGAAGCTCGAACAAAGCTGCTATCTTACTGCATGCTGAAGTCATTTTGAATTGTTCACTTCAAACCATCTTGCAAAACTTTAAGCGTTATAAGGAGAAATTTAGCGTATAATATTCTCACCTCGATGAGCACAGCGCCGGCCTCACAAAATATCTGAACACTGTCTTTAAGATATCACTTTCAAAACATTGAATTTTGAGTGAGTAAGTATAGAAGGTTTTTAGGTCTCTTCTAATGTTTCATGAAAAAATTGAGAGTTTGGTGCTTATGCCTTTGCCATATTGGCGCTGCTGTGCTCACAACCAAACCGTTTAATTGTACGGGGCAGTCTATCAGCAAGTAAGCAAACTAACTTACAAATTTTCAGCATTATGGTTCTATGAATCACTTAATCATTCTAATGCATTATGAAAAAAGCGGGAGTTAAATTAGCAAATTTTTTTTTGAAGATGCTGGCGTTTGTCGTTTCATTCGGTTTTCGAGAATGAACCTCAAACAACGCAGAACTAATAAGTTTATCAACTCTAGTCTACTACAGCTGAATTACTTCTTAAAAGACTAACTTCTCGCCAAAATTTCACATTCCCTGAGATTGCCTCAAGGCAAAAGAGCTCTGAAACTTTGTAAGTAAAAAAAAGGCGCTCTCTAAATAGACATGACTTTTATATACTATCAAGTTTTTTTGCTGACACGCATAAAAATTTAGTTGAATATACATAACAGAGAGGGAGACACATTGCAGTCGTTTGTTCCCAAACAGTCAACGGAAAGGTACTTATGTAGATATTGATACGTTAAGCTTGGAAAAATTAGTGCGATGTGAGGCTTCTGCTGTCCTCATTAATCTCCTCCATACAATATGCTCGCACTTTTTGAAAAGACAGCTGACAGTCGCCAATTTATGCGACATCGCCGTCGCGTGGCCATATCGCGCTTTAGAGTGGACGGATTCTCAATCCAAGACTCAGCTGGCGCGGCGCTTCTTCTTATTTTTTGGAAGGGTCCGCTTGGACACAGCATAAGGCCGAATCATTCAAGTCTTTCCAGATTTTTATTTACGGTAGGTTACCGTAAGCAAAAATTTGGAGTGAGTGCAACAAATAAGCACGCGGAGTAACCTACCGTCAGCAAACATCTAAAAATATTCGTGGAATCTGGCCTTCTACTTTGTGCAAACGGGCATTTCTATATATCAGAAGATGCGACGCGCCGAGTAAAGTCGAATGTTGTTCCTGGATTAATAAATTTGTTTACTCTGAAGCGAAATATGGCCAAGCGACGATGATGTCACATGAGTCGGGCGACCTTGCGTCGTTTTTTCCAAAATTACGAGCGGGATTATAACTTGTAGATGAAATCACTGACGAATAACCCTGCTATTTTAAAGAGAGAAGAAGAAAGATGCACGCTTGCAGTACTCTTTCGGCTCAGAATAAGTTCGGAAACAATTAGTCTATTAGTTCAGTCTCTATTCCATCCTTGAAATAGACATGCCTGCCCATATGAACGCTTGAATTACGTTGTTTCCAGAGAAATAAAAAAATTAAGGTTTACCAGCTAAAGATTTTTGAAGAATGTATAATAATTTGCAAATTTCTAACTCCTTTCCGCAATTTTTCAAATTTGATTTTTATTTTAGCACTACACAACATTGATCTACATAATTTATCTTGTTGTACATGTCGTGTCGTTCGATTTCGCGATATATTAGGTCGTTCCGAAAGTTCTATCCGTTTTTTCAACCTTTCATAAAAAAAGTGCAGTAAAGATTGAGAAACGCTTCAAGCACTATCCGACGCACAGTCATATTCCCATATCGCTTACTCTTGTATCACTGAGATAACAGCCGAAAATTCGAACCCATGGTTTTTACCATGTCAAAATTTGGCATTATTCACAATCTTTATTTCTAACTTTTGGAGAAGCTTTGAGAGCAGTTAGATAGAGTAAAAAAAGTGCAATGCAATTTTTTTTTGACATATCCAGCTGGTTTCTCAGTATTTTTCAAGATAACTTTTCCAAAAGTCTTCACTTTTGCAAAGTACCCAAATACAGAAACGCTCCGAACACTAACAAATCTCCGGTTTTAAAGCTTCCATGAGTCAGTTACTATTATCCGCAATTTTTACAAAGCAACTGAGTGTTTACCGCTTGGAAATATAAAGTTTCGCATTTTAGGTGTACAGGCTGAGGCGGGTTCAAAATCTAGAATTATGGGGATTCTATCGCCAAAAACCATGCAAATTGGAAAGAAAATGCAGTTTTTTAGAAAGAGAAGGAAAAGATGCATCGAATGAGATCTTAGTTGCGCGCCGTTTTATGTTCTATTGCTCTTGGCATCACCAAAAGTGCATTTGATAGCATCAGAAAAATTATTCTGAATGTATTTTAGGCTAGCTGCAGATGTCAAGTTTACATTATACTTTGTTTAGTCTATCTGAATGTTATCAAAGCTTTCCAAAAAATCCATAAAAAATCGCCAGACTTACGCATAAAAAAAAACCATAGGTTCCAAATTCCGGCTATTATCTCAATGATCACAAGAGCAAACGGCATAGGAACATGATATTTAGAAAGAGGAAGAAAAGCTACGTCGGATATCGCTTGAAGCGTTTCCCTATCTTCGCTCCACGTGTTTTTATGATAAGTTGAAGAAACGGAAAGAACTTTTGGAACGACCTATTTAAAAAGCCTCTAATAGCTTTGAAGTAATGATTACCAACGAACTGCATATGCTCAATTCTTGCAGTTTCAAAAAGATCACGTAGTCTAAAATTCAAATAAACGGAAACACAATCTTATTATTATTGACAGATTTCAGGGTATCTACTCAAAGTTTTTTTGCCAAGTTCTCAATTTCATTTAGCGTCATAGTTTACTTCGAAAAAAGCTCGGAACTGATCTGGAACAATAATTTCAGTAAAGCAGTTTTGAAGAGGTGAGCTTTGGAACGAGCTGCAATTTTTCTTCCCAAAATGAATTGCGGTAGTTACGTGTTTCTTTGAGGTTATTTTAAAATTTCCTTCCTTTTTGGCGCATCTTCATTCTAGCAAATAAAAAAAATCGGTCCATCCACAGGCCCGTGACTTCGAAGACAAATTTGCTTTAAAAAAGTTGCTAACGTAAGCCTACTATGTATTAGGTCGATGCAAAAGTTCTTGCGTAATTTAGAAAATATCATATCTTTCAAGATCATCAACCCAAATTCATGTTCATGTATTCAAGAATAGAAAGCTCGTGCTTTCCAGTAGCCAACTAAAGACAACCACCTCTTCCTTGGCCTCGAAGAAATAAGCTCCCAACAAAGGCACTTTATTCGTGATTTTGAGTTAGGTCTCAGAAAATATTAGAGTACGCCTATCTCGCAAGTCTAACAAAATTTATAACATAGTGATAGCGCATTTCTGCGAAACGCTTCGAATTTTCATAGAACTGCAAAGCGAAAAAGTGAAATGTGTCTTGCAGATAAGATTCCCTTTCCCCGCAAAAAATAAAATTCGACGTTAGAAAATTAATTTGGTGCTTACCTAAAACACTGACTGTTTTTCCGTTTCGGTCAGTGGTTTTGCAGAAAAAAATGCAATTAAAGAGAATTTTTTTCACACCAAAAAACACTTCAAACAAATCGTATATTTTTGCAATTCCACGCGAGATCAAAACGGTAACGTATGCACTCTTATGTAAGAAATTTTCAAAGATTTTCGGGGCTACGCAGAACTCCACTATTTTATTAGAATTGAATCTAAAACCTTTTCAATTAGCAGACGGCAGCAGCGTTCCATTTGCTGTTACAGGGTTGAGGGAAAGTACCTAAACAAGTTTGGATCTCATTGCATTTTCGGAATTTTCATACATTGTTGTATGTTGATAATATGTATAGGCTTATTTTACTGTCAAGAACAAGCCCTTTCAAGACTGAACTATCAACTTTACTCTTGTCGGAGTTGTGCCTTCTACAGCTGAGCGAGCGTTGATGGCGTTAATGCACAAGGAGAGGATGGCTGACCAACATGCATCCAAGCACTAACAACATATGCCTGTACATGTTGACGTACATGGCGCGGTTTCGCAAGAAATAACACAATCGCCGGACGGATCACAGGTCATGTGCTATCGACACATTGAGTGAGCTAGTTTCAATACATCATAGATGGCTCCGTAACAATCCCCTGCACAAAGTGCATCAAAACACAGTGCTTGAACCTCCAGTTTCAATAATCCTGACAAGTACTATCTGCAGCAAAAACTTGTAGATTGAACGAATGGATAGGTTTGGAGAGATAAGACGCGTTGCAGATGGTGACGAATTTGTTGAACCTGCATAGTTGAAAGGAGAAACAACAGTGAGCAGGACTGAGCTAACAAAGAAGAGTCAATTATAGTTTTTCAAGTCGAAGGGGTTGATTGAGATGCGATATACATTCAGAAGTGAAAATGATCTATTGGTCAGATTGAGAGCCTGGGTGGTTAATCTTAAAGGTGCTTTATCAAGTCCAAGTTCGTCTTTCAATCTCGACATTGTGAATCTTCTTGCAATTGTTTTCTTTCAGCAGTAAAGACTGGTACACGACTTTATGTGAAGAACGACTGGCGTTTCGGCAAATTTGCGTTCTCCAATGACTGAAAACTCGAAGACACATAAGTAAACCATGCGATCAAACACCTTGTCGACTATAGAGAATAGCCCAACTTAGGAAAACAACAGTGTAATCCAAAACAAAGATTAAGCTAGCGCTCACCTCACCAGATGATAGACTGTATGTTGCACACCACTTGCAATACTTATGTAGTTTAGTGCCCCGGTTCCAATCTGATTTTGTTATTCAAAAGCCACAAAGGCTTTGTGCGTTCATTAGCTGCGAAGCTTTGATCTGAAGCAAGTCATAGCAGTCCAAATCTCGGCGCAAGCACTGCAAGGGAGCGCATGCTATATAAAACTTGGTCGTGTTGCGTAGTGGTACGTATTTTTGAGGCAGAAGTGTCACTTACAGCTTTCTATTACAAACATTGATATTTCAGCAAAGGGTTTCTTTGGTTGCGCGAATTACAAGTAAACAATTTGCTCTAGATAGCTTGACTTCATATATCCTTTTTTATAATGAGCTCTTCACAGAAAAGCTGATTATTAAGAGCATATGTGGTGATCTATAGCAAACTTAATTGTTTGTTGTTGTGTTTGTTGTTTTGTCCTTTTGAAACACTTCTTTTTTCTTACAAAGAACAGCAAATGCAGTCAACGATCGTGCAAAGCGTCAGATTTCAAGTTATAAAGGACACAAAACTGTAAGGGAACGGTTATAGGTTGTCGGCAACGGTTGCCAAGGTTCCCGGCGTTGCCGGGATCAACTTAGAGAGCGCGCGAAACGTGGAGGCTATCATGAGATCCTACAACGACCGGCAACGCCAGCAACCTCAGCAACGTCAGCAAGCTCGACAACCGTTGCCGGCAACCTATGGCCGTTCTCTAAGGTTGGGTTCGTACTTGCATGTTCTGGAACTGTTCCCGCACAGTTCCCGCACTGTGCTGGAAGTGTTCCGGAACTGTGATGCGCTGCAACCGCCTGCACGCGTTTTGAACGGCGGGAGTTGGGAATTTTGACCTCTTACAATGGGTTTTCTTCTATATTGCTCTCGTTTTGGCCTTATTCCTCTACCTCGCTTCCCTTTTTTATCAGCAGATTCGAACTCGAAGCGGGGTTGAAGAATGAGCGCTTTTCTGCTCTGCGTATCCGACAAAATGTCTGTTCTTGCGCTTGTCCATTCTCGCTTCGTTTTGGTTTCGCTCAAACCTATTCCATTTGTTTCAGAGGTTTCCGCTGCGGATTCCGCAGGCATCTGTTTCAAAAAACTGGAAATGGGAACTTTGCTCTTGTTTTCTGATAAATTTCGTTTCTAGGCATTCTCAGCCCCTTTCCTTTTTCCATGTCGATGCTTCTCCGTTCTCTCTTCTACCCCGCTTCTTTTAGTGATGAGCAAAGCTGCGAACTTAAAGCGGAGAGAACGCTGTTTTCTTTCATGCGCATGTTCCAATAAGTACAGATGAAAAATGTTTATTCCTCAACCCCCTTCAAGTTCACGGTTTTCTCATCACAAGGAGAAGCGGGGTAGAGGATTAAAGCGAAATGAGAGAAGTCTGAAAGAAAACCATTGATTACGGTCAAAATTCTCCAACTCTCACAGAAAACGCGTGCGGGGGGGGGGGGGGGAGGGGTTGCAGCGTACGCAGCACAGTTCCGGAAAAGTTCCAGCACAGAGCGGGAGCTGTGCGGGAACAGTTTCGGAACATGGGAATCAGTAAGAACGTAGCCTTTGGGCGACCAGAGGCTTTAAAAGATCAATACCTATATAATATTTGGATAAGCATTTTTTTATGACCTGAAATGGTACAAGGAATCAAGGAATTTGGATGAAACTTTGCACACATGAACTTTAGGGTGGGGCGGGTGTCACTAAGCTTTTTCACCAAAAATCACTTGGTGGCGCTGTCGATTTATCGATTTTTGCGTTTTTCGCATAGCAATTATGTTATGAGCGGCCTAAAATGTTAGAAAACTTCATTGAATTCAAACGATTTTTGCACACATGAACTTCTAAGCGGAGTGGGTGTTATAAAGTTTTTTCGCTAGATAAACATTACTAATTTATCGATTTTTGGTGCTTCAATCTCTGTTAAGCTGAAAACTGGCAGGAAGGGATAGCTAAGCATGGTTAATTTGAATAAAATATCTACAACTTTAACCACTAAGCTTTTCTACCTTTTTTGATCTTTTGTATGCCACATTCTGGAGGTTAGCTGATATTGAACTATGCACTGACCTTACGCAACGGGTTTGTCGACTGCTTGGCTCATCAACAAAATTAAAATGGTTCATTCACGAGATCACATATGACCACCAAATCAAAATACCCTACCCCGACCTTACGGTTCATTCATAACATGCCTTCATTGGTCGTACTTCTTCGACTACTTTTACTCCCGAGACCATTGCGCCGACACTGGCCCCTACACCAATAGACCGTCCACCTCCACACCTTAGTCGCAGATGCATATCGCCCAGAGAACCCGAAACGTACCGCTGCAAGGCGCACTTCTGAAGCCATGCGTAACCGCCTTCGTCGTAGCCGAGAAACACCAGAGGTACGAGAACGGCGTCTTGCCTCAATGCGTGGACGTCGTCTTCATCAAGGGCAACAGGAACCACAGCTTAGCGGACGCCTTCAGGAGACACTGGATCAATTCAGGCATGGTGCGAGCCCAGAACAGGCTGGCCAACGACGATACGAACCAATCGACGAGAACACGGCACAAGCGATCTCTACGCTTGACTCGCGCCAACAAGTAATGTTTGAACAGGCACCTACCTCCACTTCCATCTCGCAGATGCACATTGCGCAGAGATCTCGAGCACGAGGAGCAAGGCGGAGCTTCGCAGCTGCACATAACCGTCTTCACAATAGTCAGGAAGCACCAGAAGCCCAAGAAGAACTTGCCGATAAACGTGAGTTACCTTCATTGTCGCCAACACAACCATTTTCAAAAATTGCGTTTAGGAGACGAATGCGGCCACACGTAGAGGACGATCCGTGGAGACCATTTCCACACCCCAGTCGCAGATGCACATCGCCCAGAGAACCCAATCCCGTACTGCTGCAAGACGCACTTCTGAAGCCTTGCGTAGCCGTCTTCGCCGTAACCATGAGACACCGACTGCATGAGATCGACGTCTTGCCTCTATGCGTGAACGATATCATGAACAACACTTACCCGCTGATGTGCCTTTCCGTCACTGAGCACTACCTCGGCAAGTTGGATGTTATTTGTCTCCATTGTAGCGCCGCACTTTTTCGTGCTGAAGTCCCTAACGGCTGTGATAAGATTGATGTGTGCTGCAACTTTGGCAACATCATTATCGAAGACAAGTTCGCCAATTTCCCCACAGAGTTGCAACAGCTCTTCATTGGCAACGACGAACCTTCCCGGAAATTCCGCCGCAAAGCACGCCAATTCAATTCTGCGCTGACGATGGCATCAATGGGTGCCAAAGTCGACTTGCCTTCCGGTCAGGGTCCCTGGGTCTTCAAAATCCACGGCCAAATCTACCACTACTCCGGTCCTCTTTATCTTGCCCCTGGGGCGCCGCAATCGTACGGCCAGCTGTACATTCTGAACACGGCACAAGCAGTCGCGGAGCCCCTCAGTCACCCCGCGAACTCGGAATGTGATTCCGACGTGATGCGATCGTTAAAGGCAGTGTCCGGGTAAAAACTCGATTTTGAGATTCTGTGCTTAACCGGACCTATTCGCTATGCTGAATCCGAAAATCCACATTGGAGAGCGCGAAAACGACGAAAAAGTGCTTTAACACTGAAGGGAAATTAGCAAGTGGGCGGGGTCTTCCCCACTGTAAATTCACGCTCCCACCTTCGGGAGCGATCTTTTTGATTCCGGTTTCAAGTCATTCGTTTGCACTTGATCGGTAGTGATGTCAGGGCGGCTGACGGATTCGAGAAAATTGCTCTGGAAGTTGGAAGCGTGAATTCACACTGGGGAAGACCCCGCCCACTTACTGATTTCCCTCCACTGTTAGAGCCCTTTTTCGTCGTTTTCGCGCTCCAATGTGGATTTTCCGATTCAGCATAGCGAATAGGCCCGGATAAGCACAAAATCTCAAAATCGAGTTCTTGCCCGGACACTGCCTTTAAGTGCACTGACACACCGTCTTAATCCCTTCGCTCGATCCTACAAGATGATGGACGAGGTGCTCAGGGAAGAAAAGGCTGCCGCATCAAGAGAGAACCGCAGTGCTGAGCCAGTTTGTATGGTTTTCGAGATGGACCGTTCCCTTGACCGTCGTCGCTATAACGCCCCTACATCCAATGGGAGGCCGTTGTTCACGTCGGCAAAGACGGTGACGTTCCCGCTCATCGCGAATTTGCTGTACATCCATATGTCAACGCAGTTCAGAAGATCTCAGACATTTCCAATTTTGCCGATCCCTCCGCTACCCGGCATTTTCTCCAAGGGGAAATTTTGGGTAGAGTCCAGATGAAGAAGAGGGATCACGCCCGTCGACGCTCCCGCATATCTCAACGGGTTACTACTTCTACTTGCTTCAAGTCAGGCCTGGCTTTAATCCGATTCATCACGGAGGCCCACTTACGCAGCAGTTCATTGTCGACGCTTGGGTTAAGACGGAGCAGAACCGCTTCAACTACATCCGCACCTATCAAGCCAACTCTCGAGCGGACACGTACCAGTCGCTACTCGACTTCATCTCCACTGAAGACGGTAGCAATGGACCAGCGGGCAAGCGAATCATCCTACCAGCCACGATTAAAGGAAGTCCGCGCTCTATGTTACAAGACTACCAAGACGCCATGACCATTGTCGCAAAATATGGCAAGCCGAACTTCTTCATAACGTTTACATGTAACCCCAAATGGCGGGAAATTGAAGAGAGCCTTCAGCCACAGATTGCCACCGACCGTCCTGACATCGTTGCGAGAGTTCACAAGTGCAAGTTCGACGCCCTCATGGATCTACTTCTCACACAACACGTTCTCGGCCGCGTCGTAGGTTACGTATCTTCGAATGTCAGAAGCGAGGGTTGCCACACACGCACTCTCTTCTCATCTTGGACAACCAATCAAAACCTCGCACAGCAGCCGACGTCGATCGCTCATCAGTGCTACCCCGGACTCCGCTGAGAACCCAGTTTTGCACGGAATTGTTACGACAATGATGATGCACCGAACTTGATGCACTAAAAAGTTTTCCAGGACCCGGTTACGAAAAGTGTATGAGGCAGCGAAGCTGCCGAGTGCCAGCCACACCTGCCGCATAGCGGCAGTGAGCGGCTGGTTTATAATGTTTGTGCAAACACTGTGGCATTCAAAGAATAATATTTTGCGAATAAAGCGTTATGCGCGGCTAAGCAAGGCAGATATTAAGAGCATGAAAGAACTTAATCGAATGTAAGTGCCATTTCTCGCATTAAAATTACATGGAAAAGAATTTGAGAGGGCGCAAAATGTAGTGGGCCAAGGTTGCCACCTGTGAGTCCGAGACACTAGCAAATACATCAACGGCCACTTTTGTAACAACTGTGAGCTCTGCTAAACGTGCATGCGAAATGTTAGAGAGCTATGATTTGTTTTAAATTAACGCTTCTCAGCTAAGCAACTCACATTTGAGACTAACCCCTAAGCTTTCAGTCCGTGCGTATATCAAATCTCGGTACTATTCCACATAAGTTGACCCAAAAAATGAAAATCTTGAATTTCGCTAAAACTTCATCTATGGGGATTATTCAGTACGCTGAACACGAATACGATGTTTATTTCGCCGGTAGCGCCATCCGGTGGAGTTACGGTAGGATTACGGTGGGGAGTCAAGACCACGGATTCGCCCGAATCTTGGCCCAGAGGGGTTATTCGGCCCGCTGTGATAAATATCACATTGGTTTTGAACCGTAGCGTCATTTTCTCGGGTTACGATAGCTACACGGTAACGGGTGTAAAACGTAGTCCTGCCTGAAACGGGTGTACGGCGATGGACGATCGTGAAGCTTTGCACACACGACCACTGCCGCGCGCTACACACCCTGCTGCGGCTTTTGCCTAAGCAAAGCACAGGGGAAGGTTTGCCGATTTGTGGTTTTGACCCCTATCGTAAAGTTACCGTAACCATGCAGGGAGACGTTTTCGTGCGGAGAAAGTGTGACACTTCTAATCAGCATGTCGAATAACCCCTCTGTGCGAAGTTACAGCGAATTTTGAGATTTCGACCCCCTACCATATACCCACCGTAACCCAAGAATATGACGCTACGGTACAAAACCAATGTGGTATTCGGCATCAGCGGGCCGAATAACCCCTCTGGGCCAAGTTTCGGGCAAATCCGTGTTTGACTCTCTACCGTAATGCTACCGTAACTCCACCGAATGACGCTGTCGCACGAAATAAACATCATATTCGTGCTCAGCGTGCCAAATAACCCCCCTAGACGAAGTTTTAGCGAAATTCACGATTTTCATTTTTTGGGTCAACTTATGTGGAATAGCGCCCAAATCTCAATTCTCACTTTAACTTGGTGGTCTTCGCTTGCAAGAAATGGAAGCATAAAGTAGGTTCATTGCTAGCTAAGTTTTGCGATGAAAAGTCACTGGATATTACGTAAGCGCATGGATGCTCAAAACGTCTTTCAACGATTATTTTCAGTCTCGCTTATACCAGTGCTCACTCGTGTATCGCATGTATCTTGCTATTCATGCTACGTGGGAAGTGAAGGAAAATTGGATAAAACAGCAGTAACTGTAAGCTCGACGTCCCTGCCATTTTCTGAAATCTTGGTCAATTTCCTAAACCATGTCACGAGCGTACGCACTACTACTACAAGAAGCTGGTTCTCTCTTTGAGCAGCAAACCTTTTGTAAGTGGTGAATAAGGCGGTCGACAGGAAGAATGGCTAGAATAGTTTTTTTCTAACGAGCTAATTTAGGAAAAGACAATAGTCAACTGCATTACATATAAATCCTCTTGTAAAGCATTTGTTGTGAGAAAAATACTTATAAAATGGCTGGACGATTTGCTCAGCCATTTTCAGATATTTTTTTCTAAAAATTCGCCACATTATCCACCCATGTCGTATATATGGCGCTGACTCACAAGTAAGTCCGCTTCTTGTACCAATGCAGACAGCTTTGCAGAAGCTTGGACTCTACTAGTCTGATTTCTTAGAAGACAGTGTTCAGGCAAATCTGGGCCGTTTGGTCTGGATGGCTTTTTGCCTAAAAACTGACGAAAGGGTCCTAACTGATGCATTAGCCAAAAGGCAGCGCAGCTGATTCAGCTGAAAAATCCACCCCAACAGTCAGTGACCTGATTAGCGTCTTAGGAGGGTCCCAGCGCGAACGTAGTGTTGATGTGAAGGAAGGGTTTCTTCATACTACGCCGCAGGACGCAGCATCCTGCGGCAGCACGCCGCTTCACGCCGCGTCTTGCGGCGGGCGCCGCCGCCGCAGTGAAAACATAAGCTCATGGCACTACACTCGCCGGGGTTATGGATGTATATCCATATTTGCTGCACGCTCGTGTTCTCCGAGAGTGTTACTTCACAGCGAGCTCATATTTTACTCGACTGCAGCAGCGCACGCCGCAGGATGCAGCGTGCTGCGCCAGGCTGCTGCTTCCTGCGGCATGCGCCGCAGCACGCCGCGTCCTGCGTCGTAGTATGAAGGAACCCGAAGAGAGGGTTTTGGATAAGGCGCAAGCGCAAAGGGTTTGGGGGACGGATCTCAGCAGTGACTGAAACATTTGCGCTGCCGCTTGGGCAGTGCCTTAGTTAGAACGCCCTCACCACTTTCAGCCAAAAAAATCAATAAACCCAGATTTGCCTGGTGTATTTTATTTATATGATGATAAACTGCTTCAAACACGGTCAACCTACCATAAAATGAGATGTAAACAAATAAATAACCATTGTGAATGTGCGTACATAACGTGATTTCATCGCTTCGAGATTATTAAAACTAACAATCTCCGAACAATGCGCACGTGAGTCACCAACATAACTAAGTAGCGGCTCAAGTAACAGCATTGGAATCGCCACGCCGACAGGGAAGGTGCAGTAGCCGGTATTAGTGCTAATATCCAACGAAAAATCGCAGTTTTGCACGTGTTCGATGCTTATCGACTGAAGAAATGCTATAGAGATATGGCACCAGCATAACATCGGTGGCATTGGGCGGAAAATACTTTCCAACGGCCAAGATGATTGCCTTTTTGCATGGCTTATAGCTAGCATCCGAAAACGACAATGGATGCGCAGCATATTCAGTAATTCATATTCGATAATTTCCTGTTTTAGTATAAAGACTCAGCGCTTATATGACTCACTCTTCTTATGAAAACACTTTTTTTAATTGCTTAACGATGAGAGATCCATGAGTTAAAGGCACCGTCCGCCCTAAGTTGAGGGTTTTAAGCTTTTGGCAGCATATGATATTAGGACCCCTAGCAAGCGGATGGCCAAGTCGTAGAGCAAAATTTCGCTTCGAAAGCGATAAAATCGCTCGGGATTAACGAAGATACACGAAGACCCCCAGACGGCACCGCCTTCTCCATCCATGCTCGTACATCCTGCGCCTCCAGCCAATCACCGTTTCGGAAAGCGGGCCTGTGGGCTCTCCGGAACGGGGTCATTAAGTTTTTCGCGGATTCCCAACTTCATATTCGGAACCAGGAACATGAGAAGGCCCTAGAGCGATTGAAACATGGAATTCGAAAATCTGGGTGGACGGTGCCTTAGAGATTTCTGCAGGTTACTTTAAGCCATTACTTCGCACGATATTTGGATTGGTACCTCATCTTGCGAATCTTTTTGAATCCACATGACATAGGATCTTCGAAAAACACACACGTATCAGCTTGACTCACAGCTGTTGTACCTACGCGTTGGTTGCGCATACCTTGCAGAAATTTAGCCAAAACTTGGCTGTATCTCGTTTACAGTGTACATCGAGCTGCATTTCGGCAGCGTCATTAACTGAACTCATACTCCATAGAAAGAAAGATTTACATGAGAAATTTCTGTTAGCATTCTGTTAGGGTACAGCGGAGCATTATCCAGAAATTAGTAAGGAACAAGATAGACATTGACATTTTTCCTGCTTCCCTTGTCTAGTTACAGCAGATAAACACGCACCTTTTGACCCTTTTCAGATGCTAATTTGATCCGTGATCGCACGATTCCTATAATTCAAATTTATATCAAAATTGATCTTAACCAAAAACTCTTACCATGCGCAGCAAGGTACTATAAAAAGCAAATCTTCGGCTGCACAAAACATACTTTTGCATTATTGTAGCAAAAATTAGAGATTTACTTGCCTGAATTGCCAAAGATTCTTGAAAACTCTACTCAGGAAGAGCATGAAATGTTATGGTCTCCTGAGCAGTGGTGCCAAGCTTGGTTTCTACAGCTGCTTTTTAAGAGTAATTGTTGTCTCGACGGTGAAAAACTGATTATTTTACTGCTCAATTTTCCTTTGCTGAAATGTAAGCAAGATTATAGTTTTTCTGTGCAAAAATAGTTGAAGTTGCCTTTCCAGATGAGTCATAAACCACTTTGAAGTGCATCGAACGATTTCAAAGCTGGTTTCATCATCTGCCGAGCGCCTCTGTATGCCAGGTTATGAATATTTATTGGTGCGAAAAATGAACGCATAATCTAGATAAAATCGAATTTTAGGGTTTTTTCAGCGCTCGGATAGAGCAATGTAAAGTATGAGTGTTTTGGACAGAAACTGTTGTTCAAATGGAGCGCTCTGATAATCAACATTGGACTATTTGAGCAATTCTGACGAATTTTGTGCTAATTGCGCATTCAATTTCTCAGAACTCGACGTCCAGAGGCGCTCGGCAGATAACGAAGACAGACTTAATGTCAGCGTTCGATGTTCTTTATACGTTCAATTTCATGTGAAAAAGCCACTTCGACCAAATGGAACTCCCCAAGGGACGGATGATCGGTTGAAATGGTTTTTTGGAATGAGCTCTATAAAAGGCCCCTCTTGGTAAGGCAATCTCAAAACTACTTTATTGGCTTGCTAAGTGTCGACCCCCACTGTCAAAATGTTTGTACAAGGAACAGTGTTGCCAACGTCTCGTGCCCGAAAACCTTTGGACGAGGATTGTGGGTGAGTCGA